CTTTCTAAAGGAAGGCAAAGAAATTGGGGTTCTGATTTTTGTTTCTTTTTATTCAAGATTCTCTTTCTGAGTTAAAGTCTCAGGAATCTGTGGGGTTTGGATCATTGTAGCAACTGTAAAACCACATAGTGTATTTGTTAGTGTACACTCAGGAGGGTTTTCAAAGGCAGTAAATACCACTGGAGAGATTGTCAGCCTTCACCTGCAGAGCAGAGTAGCTGGTGGATTCAAACAGCATAGCATGTCTTTGAGTTGGCGGCACACCTCCTTTACTGCTAAACCAACAGAGCTTCTATATAGTATATTTGTTGTTGTTGTTGATTGCTTTCAAGTCGAGCACTACACATAAGGCCTGAAGCCTTTCTACAACTGTTGACATTTACCAAAGTATAGAGTTTACAGAGGCATTTTAGGAAGTGGATGCCACTCCTGCTTCCAAAATATAGTATATTTAATCGTCTTTAAATACCTACTCTAACTCACTGCTTTTGAGTCAGTTTCAAGTGTCTGAGGCTTAAATCATAATGGGAGTAGACTGTTGTGGAGCCGCTAATGGATTTGAACCCCTGCTAGAGACACAAGGCCTTTGCATTAGAAATACAACTTGCTGTGGACTGCACCATCAGAGCTCCTCAAATACTCATTACCTCTCCCCATTTTCCATTACCATGTAAAATTTTTTGGTATAAGATCACCTTATTTATTAATTCTTTTGCATGGAAGTTTACAAATCATACTGACTTTCATCTATAGATGAAAGTATACTGACAATCATTAATAGAATTTTAAAAATATTTATTGCTGTTGATTAACATAGGTAAATACAGTGCCTATTAAGCCTCTATTATATATTGTCTTTTCTTTTACCAAACATAGCTCTTTTTCTTTTACTCTCCCTTTTCATCCTTGTTATTCATCCACAATTGATCTTTGTTGTTGTATACTGTATCTGCTTATCCCTGTTATTTGTCCAACATTGATCCTATCTATATAAAAATCTGTGTAAGATCACCTTTATTAAAACTAGTTGCTGTTCAGTGAAAGAATGAAAATCCAAAATCTCTGTAAAACATGTTCACTAAAATTAATAAAATAAAATAAAAGAGGGGGGAAAACCTAGTTGCTGTTTTTATTGTTAAATACCACTGAGATGGAAACGACCCTCCAGTGAGTTTTGAGAGACAATCTCATGGGCGGAAATGACCTTTCTCCCATGGAGCAGCTGGTGGATTCAAACTACGTGCATTTCGGTTACCAGCACAACTCCTTACCACTAAACCACCAGCACTCTCTAGTTTTAAAATATAGTTTTATTTGCCTAAGTGCTTATAATTGCTAAAATGTCTTTGTTATCTTCATTGTGAATTGTACTGTTTTAGAACAGCAGAGATTTTTTGTCACATTTAATACTTTTTTACTTTAATTTTACATATTGAAATTATGTAAACTATAGTAAAATATGTACTTATTTTATAGTTGGAAATAAGTTTTAAAAAATTACATTGTTCTTTCCTAATCTCTTAAGAGATAAAGCTCTTCTCCAAGAGTTTAGGATGTACTTTTATTTTTCTGTAGTTTTGTGAGCACTGAATATACATTTCTATTTATGTATAGATTCAGATTCTGCCGTTGGGTTTTTTAACTTAGCAGTGGGAATATTTCCATATCAAAATATAGCTGTATTCTCATTTTTTAAAATGCTGCTTAATAGTGCCATTTTAATGTCATCATTTCTCTGTTACTAGACATTTAGGCTGTCTCAGATCTTTGCCATGTTAAACCTAGCCACCAGGATGTCCTTGTGCTAGATTCCTAGAAGTGAGATGAGTCAAAAGGTGTATGCATTTTAAAGTTTGCTTTTTCCTATATTTCTTTCCAAAAGTCTGTATTTCCACTTAAGTATTCATTTCCCCTTGCACTGACCTGGTGTATGGGTATTAGTCTTTTAAACCATGGTATACTAATAGGCAAAAAATGAGTGAAGGTGTTTTGTGGGGGCTTTTTAATACTAATTTTTAAACGATGTATAGCTGTTATAGCACTTGTTTGGTTTTTTCCAAAGGCTGTTACAATAGAGACATTGACATTGCTAATCTAATGCAGCAATATAGGAGGCTCATAACTCGGGCTTGTGTGGTGCCCTAGTCCATGCACTGCTAGCTGTATGTGTTGCTTCTCTGGTAGGCTGATTCCACCAGAAGCCCCACGGGAGAAACACGGGCCACTATGCAGCGGCTTTAGAGAATAATAAGCTGATTAACAAAGAGATGCTACTTCAGTGGCCTCCTGCTGCCGTCTAGTGGTTAATCTTGACACTTCTAACCAACTTCATTTTCTAATCATTTATCTTCAAAACTTTATTTGGTTTATCAGATGATTTCCTTTATCAGGTAATGTTTTTAGTATAATTAATATATCTTTTTGGATTGTTGTTTTGCTAGGCATTCTGTATGTTGTTAGATAAAAATGCTATAAAATGAATGAATCTATTTTCATGAATATACTCTTTATATAGACATTCTTAATTGTTAAAGACAAATCTCTTAACATTCCAGTCAGATACAAAAGTGAAACCAATGTGTTATAAGCACTGTAAATACACAGCTGTGAAGTCAGCTTTGACTCTTAGTCACCCTGTGTTGGGTTTCTCAAACTGTAAGTAGCAATGAGAGGAGACTGGCCATCTTTTCACCGTGGAGCTGCTGGTGGATTCGAGAGACTCATAACCTTTGAGGTGGGATCACAGCTTGCTAAGGGCTACACTACTAGAGCTCCCTATTGTAAAGGGAGGATATTTTAGTTTTACCCAAGACCCAACTGAAACGTAAACTAGGAAGACGATTACTTCATAGTAGATCTAAAAGAATAAATTTGCCATCTCCCTCAAGAGCAATTTAAGATAGTTATTTTAAGCAATTTTACTTTCTCTGTAGATTGTGATTGTAGTTATTATAATCTGGTCCATGAACATATCCTCAGACTCTAAGGTGCATTGATTGAATCCTCACTGCATTAGATAGGATGCGTATTGAATCTAAGTTCTTTTCTAATCCTGAAGTTCTGCTCTCTGTCTTCTCCATCATACCTTGAACTCTATTTGCTTGATTTCCCACCCCATAGTTTTAAGAGATGTATTAGTCAAGATTCTAATATTAGAGAAACAGGATCAACAATGTAGATAAAGTAGATAGAGGGACACATTAATGTTGTTCGGTGCCATCAAGTCAGTTCTGACTCAGAGTGACACCTGTGCACAGAATGCAGCAGTGCAAAGTGCAGCGCCATCCTCACAGTCACTGCTAGGTTTGATCTTACTGTCTGCTTCACTAATAAGCATGATAAGTCTCCAGAGACTGTTCCCTCCTGATACTGTATCCAGAGTATGTGTGACAGTCTCTCCAGCCTTGCTTTGAAGGAACATTCTGGCTGTATTTCTTACAAAACAGATTTGTTTGTTCTAGCAGCCATGGATATTAAATATTCTTCCATGTGGATTTGACTCCATTGAAAACACAACCAGAAAAGCCTGGCTCCATGTCCTTCCCAGTGATTGGCAGGCGGCTGGGCCCTCAGGCACCCAGTGTCCACTCCCTGACTGTGCTAGCCAACCTGCACTGGCTCTCCAACCAAAGGAGATGGCCTTGGGTGTCTGTATGCCTCCTCAGCTTTGAGGTCTTTGTACGCTGGATGTGACACCTTAATTTCTCCTGCAGTTAATAAGAACAGTGGGAGATAATGCCTAGATTTTTCTTATAGTTGACCAGAGCAAGAGTAGAAACTAAAAACCCACATTATTTCCTGCGGATGCATCCACAACTGCGTGATGATGCAGTCTTGAGAATGAATTTCTTCCTCAACAATTTTCTAATCTTAGGGCCTTTCACCTGCACTCATCTGTCACTTTGTCCTACTGTAGTGGCATGTTTTTCCAATGCTGGAAGTTATGCCATTCGTATTTCTGGCAATCTACTTATGAGAAAAATTGGCCAGTGAAAACCTAATGAATAGCCGTGGAATGTTGTCTGACATAATGTTGGAAGATGAGCCCATCATGTTTTAATGTAATGAAAGTGAAACTGGAAAAGAGCTGCTTCCTCAGTTCCCAAGTAGAATTGACTTGATGTGGATAGAGTTATGCGGCATGACTCAAAATTGGAAGAAACAATGCTTTATAGCACTTTAAAAAGGACCTTGGTAGCAGATTGGCCCAATATAATACATCCTTTGATTTCTTGACTGCTACTTCCGTGAGTGTGGATTGTGGATCCAAATCAAATGAAATCCTTGGCAATGTCAGTCTTTTCTCCATTTATCATGGTGTTGTTTATTGACTCAGTCATGAGGCTGAAAGATTTACTCTGTCCTGGCCGTGTCAGGTAGACCCAACTTTGAAGAGGCAGCTCTTCCTCAGTTATATTTTGAGTGTCTTCCAATCTACAAGGCTCCTCTTTCAGCACGATGTTGGTCAGTGGTCCTGGCTATTCGTAAGGTTTTCAGTGGCCTGTTTAAAAAAGTAAATAGCTGACTAAAACATCTGTCTTGGGCCAAAATCTATATTGGACATTTAGTTACCAAGTTTCTGTAGATACTACTAGCTGAAATGATTAAGCCGTGTATATTTGCATAAATAAACTTATTCCCCTCACCTCTGCCGTGGGGAGAATAGGACTTTTTATCTGCCTCATCTCAGAGTAACTCGGGGAGCTCTGGTGAGTTAGTTCATTGGGAGTTGTGCTGCTGACAAAATGTCAAGAGCCTTGCTAGCAGTTCGTACCCACCAGTGGCTCCGTGGGAGATCGATCCATCAGCAGTCTCCTCACATGTGATTTGAAGTTCCCGGAAACTCACTGGAAAGTCATTTATGAGTTGGTTCCAACTTGGCAGCAGTGAATTGGCGTGTCAGAGTAAGCATTTGAGAAACCATTTTGGATGAAACAGTAATGCTTTTATTTTGAGGTTTGACTACTCCCCTTCTTACAGCAGTCCTATCTGTCTTTCAGCATTGGAGAGGGGTCTCTTGAAAACGCTGCAGAAACTGGATGAATATCTGAATTCTCCCCTCCCAGACGAGATTGATGAGAACAGTATGGAGGACATTAAGTTTTCGACACGTAAATTTCTGGATGGTAATGAGATGACGTTAGCTGATTGCAACTTGCTGCCTAAATTGCATATTGTGAAGGTAGGCCTGCTGGATGTGGTATCAAATTGTATTAGACCTGTTTACTAAGATCACTTTTCATTTGTGTTTCAGATGTCTTTAATTTTGACTTTTGTTATGAGGTGCCATCAGTCTATTTGTGCTCTTAATGACCTCACCTGACAGAATAGATCTGCCTCACACAGGTTTTTGGCTGTAATCTTTCCAGAAGCAAGTTGTTAGGACTTTCTCCCACAGATCTACTGGCTGTCCAAACTGCCAGCCATTCTCTTACAGGCTTACCACATAATCATTTGCTCTTTATATTTGACTGAAAACGTTTTTAAACTTGCTGCCATTGGGTTAGTTCCAACTCATGGTGAACCTCCGTTGGATTTCTGAGGCTGAATCTTTACAGGAGGAGACTGCCTGCCACAGAGCCGGTGGTGGATTCAAACTGCCAGCATTTTGGTTAGCAGCCTGATATGTTACCCCCTCCACTACCAGGGCTCCTTAGGATATTTGACAACACTCAGCTTGGTATGGAGTCTGTACAAACTCATGGCTGACCCTCCAGCAGGTTTTCAGAGGTTGTATTTCACACCAGGGAAGGCTGCTCATTTCTTACCTCAGTGCAGCTGGTGGATTTGAATCACCTGCCTTTGGTGTGACAACACAACTCTTTAACCACTAGGCCACCAGGCCTTCTTGATATTTGATAAGGAACCCAGAAATAAGGCAACTTAATGATGGTTAGATAGTAGTTGAAACACCTTAGGCTTAATTAAATGGAAAATGAGATCGTCTAAGTTAGGGAGCACTGGTGGCCTAGATTGTCGAGAGTTTCACTGCTAATTCAAAGGCCACACCTTCTCAGCAGTTTGCCTTTGAGGGAGAGAGATGGACAATCTTCTCTTACGTGATTTACACCTCAGAGACCCAACAGAGGGCTGGCTGTAACTTAGTTCCAGCTTGATGGCAGTGAGAAGTTGATGTATATAAGAAAGAAGAATTTCCCCTTGCAAATGCATAAGAACAATTTTGAGTTGAAATTTGGTACACTAATACTGTTACATTCTCTGATCACTTAAACTTTTCTATTCAAGGCAAAATAGTATTCATTGAGCATTTATTATATGGGACTGTATTTGGCACTAAATTGAATAGTATTGTGCAGTATAGGTCAATAGTACGAAAAACAGAGGTCTGAGAGTGTTCAGAAAATATTTTTCCAACGATTCCAGATGGCTCTCTGCTTGGATATCACTGTCACACTTCTGAATGCTTAGTGGAGCTGTGGTCCTGGTCATTATTTAACCCTCCAGTTAGAATGGAGACGACAGGCTTCTTTCCAAACAGAAGCAGTACCCAAAGCTTTCTAAAATCAATAATTTGCTCTAAAGTAAAAAATAGTTTGCAGGAGATGGAAAACAAATCTGTTAACTTTTGATCTTTTTTTATTCCAGGTGGTGGCCAAAAAGTATCGCAACTTTGATATTCCGAAAGGAATGACCGGAATCTGGAGATACTTGACGAATGCTTACAGTAGGGATGAGTTCACCAACACTTGTCCCAGTGATAAGGAAGTTGAGATAGCATATAGTGATGTAGCCAAGAGACTCACCAAGTAAAGTAGCACTTAGGAGAGAGATGTGTTCACAGTCCCGTAACAGAATATGCTTCTCCTAACAGTCTGCTCCTCTTCCTATGATGTAAAAACTTTATTTTGCATGAACATGCAGTTATTCAAGATTAGGATAAAGGGATAGACAAGGTATAGTAGCTGTCTTAAGATGTACACTCCTCAGCAGTATTATTTTAAAATTCACTTGCCCAGCCTACCATCCCCATCCATTTTCTCCCTTCCTCTGATTTGGAAGACACTCCGTCACACGTATTTCAGTTTAGATTTAGACGTAGAGTGCCATCTCTCCTGAGCCCTTAACATTATTAAGTCCATTCACTGTGTACAGTTGGCAAGACTTTTGAGGTGCATTGTTGAACTGGTTAAATAGTAGCCGTGACTTCATCAGTCAGCTCCAAACTGGCACATAATGCATGGTACAAGGAATATTTATGTATTTTTGGAATTTTAGAGTAATAAGAGTGTATGAAAGGATTGTTATTGTATCAGAAATATTCTGTTTCAATCTAGTCTGTCCTGGATATACACTAAAGGGTGTACCACCAGAGAAGCAAGCTTTCTATGAAAAGTCACTACAGATTTTGCTTTATAAATGGATTATTATTTTTGCTGAAAGCATCTGTCTCCAGATCAGTTTTAACACCTGACACTGTATATAAAAGTTCTCCAGATCATTTTACTCAAGCATTTTTATCCTTCTGAGCATATGCTCTATCTAAATCTGGTTTTTGTTCTGTGTATTTTGCCCAGTGCCATTAATTTGGAGCATTATTGCTTGTTCTCTATTTTACTTTAATCATTAAATCTCCTTTTTGAGTAAGCAGAGACCTTTGGTGCTTGTACATCTTTTCAGCATCACTACATAAACTATTATTTAGTTGATTTAGCTATAACATTACAGTGATTGGGAACAGTAAAAATGTAACTTAAATTAACCTGAGGAGTGTAGGATAATTTTGTCAAAATAGCAAGTAAAATTTTGTTTCTAAAGCATATTTAATGTAGATAGTTAATCTAAAGACTACAGTACCCCCCTATATTAAATGTAAGATAAAACACAGAGGCCACCAGCTTTCCTATTCTACTTGTGTTCTATGTTAGAGTGTAGGTAAAGGGTTGTTCACTCATTTTGAATGGAATTGTAGTTATGATAAGTGTATTTTCTACCCTTTTGCCTAATCTCAGTCAATACACATCTGTGCATTAAATTTTTCTACAGCTTTGTTGAGGAATAGCACTCTGCCCGTTTTTTCTTATTTGAATTGGAAGCTTCAAACCAGGAATTATTTGTGCTCTAAGAGAAGTTAAATGTGAAGTAAACAAACATTTCTATGTATTTATTAATTTTTATTTTAAAATAGATTTGTCTAAGTACTAGTCCAGAGGTAGTAGTTTTAACTGTAATACATTTTTGGCAAATTTTTATATCTCACTTGTCTAAGAAGTGCTATTTCTCTTAGGCTGTTTCTGGAAATAAGTATGTTGCTTTAAAATGAAAATGTTTTTCTCGTTTTGTATACTAACATTTAACAAGCACTAGCTTTATGGAAGCAGCCTCACTTTTATAAGCATACTGCATCTTTTAACCTATCAGCAGTTAGCTTGACACAGGAAAAGAAGTAAAGCTCCGTATTGTATCCGTTTGGTTCAGGGAGATTCCTTTGTCTTCAGACTGCTTACTGCTGATCAGAAGTTCTGACACTCTTTTGTAATTAAACATTGGATGGTGATTTATGTGGTTTCAAGGAGAAGGGCTTCATGTAGGGTATCGGGGCATTACATCTTTTGTAGCTTTAGTGGGTTAGAGAGTCTCATAGCAGAACCAGTGCACAGGCAGGCATCCCCACTTTTCACTTACTGTTCAAATAGTAGTAAACTGGCATTCACGTGACAAGGACCCTTCTGCCTCTGTGTAACAGAAAGCAGAGTGGCAGTGCAAGTGGTGCAAAGTAGAGAGCAAATGGAGGAAAGAGCTACATGCCACAAAAATGCAAAAAACTGAATGTCAGTGATGAAATGGAGCTGTAAAGCTATTTTCACTGTGGCTATCTCATCCTTCCCAGCATTTTTTAACAAAAGTATCCCGTGAATATACTTGGTTGTCTTTCTGGTTGTTTAAAGAAGGCATGTGTGCTACACTTGATTAGTCTGTGTGACTTTGACCAAAGGAAGGTACATTATTAGGGAGTATATTCAAAGAAATTTAGGTTGGCAGTGGGAAAAATATGGAGAAAAAGATGGCAGTTTGCTTTAAATTTGTCATATTTTTGTGAGATGATCATAACTTAAAATCATGTGTGGAGGCTTAGGACATCAAGGTTCATAATAATTCATGGTTGACACATAGAATAATTTGATATTGTTTTTATAATCACCAAATTTTCTCTTTCAAATGCTTGAACCCTTTATATTCTACACCATTGAGGAGAGTAGAAATTGAATGGAAGGCCTCGCTACTACAAGGAAAGCTCTCTACTGTGTTGGTTAATAAACCACCCCACCTTGACTGTTTAAATACATGAGTTTTTTAGACTATTGTTTTCTTTTTTTACTAGTCGTGCTCATTTGTGATGGAATTCAAATAAGATCTTATTTCTTGGTAACATCAGCCGTTAAGATTTCTCTCTATAGCCTGGAACAATTTGTATATGATAAAGAGACTTTTGACATTTATTCTTATACTAAATTGATAAATTCTAGAATTAGGCAATTTTACCTTACTTCTGTTGGGGTTTGATTCTTTAGAGTTGCATATAGATAGCTTTGATTTCTGTACATTTAAAAAGCCCATTTAGAAAATAGTAGGAACTAAAATTAAGAAAAAGAAATATTTTTTTCATGCATGTTTTGATACACATTTCATTAAGTTTATTGCTTAGCAATTTTCTTACACAGATTTTAATCAGTATTGGATTCACAGGAAAGCATTAATTAGTACTATGTGGACTTTGTTTTTCTACCCCTTTGTATTATCAAGTTTGGAACCACCAAAATATTTTTATCATGGGGAAAAAAATTTTCAACTCCTTAAGCCATAATGTTGAACAGACTTGGAATATTTTCTTTATAATTACTTGAAAAGGCAAATGAAAGCTTATTATAAAATGCTCATGTTTTCTTTTCTTTCTCTGGAACATCATGCACCAGTATATTGCTGGCAGCTATTAAAAAAAAATAAAGTATATTTTCACTATCAGAAAGAGTTCTCCTTTCATGAAAATAAATAGCAACTTGGGGTAAATGTATTTTGAGACTGGTTTCTTTTTCCTGTGCAAGCGAAGGATTCAGCATATTGAATAGATTACCAGAGGAAAAACCGTGTGGTTGTCTCATTAGGTGGTGGTGTGTACCGTAGAGTCAAACCAACTCATAGCAGACCCTCCGGTGGATTTCCAGGGCATTTACCTCGCACGAGGAGATTGCCCATCCTTCTCCCGTGGAGCCATTGGTGGCCTCAAACCACATGCCTTTGGAACTGCAGCCCAGCTTCTTGCCTCCAGGCCACCAGAGCTCCTCTCAGTAGGTAAAGAAAAAAAGAATTTGACAAAAACCTGCCTGAGAGTATTATGTAGTACTGAAGAAAGGTAACGAATTTGTGAAACACTGGAGAGAATGGGTGAATCTAGAGGAAATTATACTGAGTGACATAAATCACTCATAAAAGGATTATTTTGGTATGTTGTTGTGTACTATGAAGTCGGAACTGACCCCATAGCTGACCCTCCAGTTGGTTTTTAGAGACAGTAAATCACACAAGAGAAGCTTGCCTATCCTTCTCCCTTGGAGCAGCTAGTGGATTTGAACAGTGTGCCTAGACCACCCACCAGAGCTCCATTGTGGTATAAGACCACCATTATAAATGCTGAGGAAAGGTTTACACACAATCATTTGTGAATGATTACCAGGCATGGAAATGGAAGGAGAGGGAAGTGGAAATTAATGGATAACTTGACATAAGTGAGAGGTAATATATATAGTATTAGGCATTGATCAGATGTGATTTCATTAGCTGTAATGTTGTAAAACAAAATGTATGAATAGTTAAATGAAAAACTTATATGATTTGTAAACTTGCACTCAAGTGAAAAAAAGCAGAAAGCTGGCAAACAACAACAAAAATCCTAGATGATATTCTTAGGAAAATAGGAACAGAACTAATGTTTTTTTAAAAGTTGGATAAAGCTTCCTAGGAAGGATCTCTGGTGAATGTCATACAGGATGAGAGGACAGGCGCCTTCTCGCTTGCCCTCACTACTAGGCACCACCCTTTGTCAGTAGTTTCCACAGCTGCTTTTTAGCGACACCCTAACCAGTGTAGTAGGTGAGGGAATGGTAAGGAAGTGACAAAACAGGCTTTTTGCAGATGAGACAAGTATCTAGAAAAATTTGCAATTTCCATAAGAATATAAGTAAGATTAAGGAGCAACTTTGATATATATCAACATTAAAATAGAGGGACTATTCTAAAGCAGTAAAAGTGGACAACTGAGCAAAAGGACTGTGTACATGGGCCATTAAAAATCTGTAATATGAACATATTTACCTATTCTATGAAAAAGATGTTTTATAAGATTTTTTTCTTTCTTTAAATTAGAAGGCAGGTAGCTCAGTGACCTGATGGTAAGCTGCTACACTGCCAGGTTGAATCCACCAGCTCCTCTGTTATGTGCCGTCGAGTCGTTTGCGACTCATAGCGACCCTATGTACAACAGCCCTAAACTGTGCTCTATCCTGTGGCAATCTCATTGCCTCTGACACACCCATCCCGATTATCCCAGTCACTGAATCAATCCACCTCATAGAGGGTCTTCCCCCCCTGCGCTGTCCCTCTACTCTACTGAGCATGATGTCGCCCTCCAAAGACCTGTCTCTCCTTACAACATGTCCAAAGTATGTCAGGCGAAGCCCCAGAATCCTTGCCTCCAAGGAGCGGCCTGATTTAACCTTCTCTAGGATGAATCTGTTTGTTTTCTTGGCAGTCCATGGTACATTCAATACTCTTCTCCAGCACCACCAGCTCCTCTAGGGGAGAAAAATGGCAATATCTTCCTGTGTGATTTATTGCTTCTGAAAAGCGGCTATGGAGGGTTGGCTATGAGTTGGTTCTGACTAAACAGTGCACAACAGATAAGATATTTAGGACAGATCTTTGTTAGGTGCCATCAAGTTGAGTACAACTTTGACTCTATGAACAACAGACATGAACCCTGTCCTATCCTGTGCCATCCTCACAATTGACACATTCATGAGCCCCTTGCTGCAGTCACTGTGTCAGTCCACCTACCTGGTTTAGTGGCTTCCTCTCCTTCACCAGCCTTCCACCTTTCTAAGCATGACATCTTTCACCAAGGACTAATCTCTCCTAGCACGATGCCTAAAGTATGTGAGGTAATAGCAAACATTACAAACTACTAATTGAAGGAACTACCAGAAGATCTAGTCGCCGGGTAGATATACGATGTTAACGGCTATATTACTCAGAAGCATCAAGATTTCACCTCTGCCTCAAATGTATAAATTTTGTTTTCCAACAAAAAGACAATGAGTTGTGGGTATTGGTTGGTTTGTGGTTTTTTTGTTGTGTTTTTTTAATGAAGTAAATTATATTAAAAATTCATATGTAAGACTTAGCTCCAGATAGCTAAGATACATCAGGTGAGAGGAAAAAAGAAAACTTATCTGAACTTAGTAAGATATTAAGAGCTGATAGAATTTATATAGTAGATCACAGCAACGCAACACACCTGCTGCAACAGCCAGAGAAGTCTGGATTAGGACCCGAAGATTTTCTTTGTATAACTACAGAATTCTGGAAGCAGTACCCTAAAACCAAAATGCTATCATCGATCAGTGTTGGTTCCTGGTGACCCACCATAGTCATTTCTACTTTGGGGCCCATATTAGGGATTGTCCATGCACAGGGGTTCTACTTGAAGGAAGAAAAAGCTCCTTGGCTATACGGTGGGCACAGTGGAAACTGGAAGCAACTTGTAGGACATGTGCTTGACTCCAGAGCTACACATGGCAACCTAGAGGCTAAGCTGAGCCTCCAAAAAGCAGAGTGAACTCACCCATGAATGCACAACACTTACTGTTGATTGCCTTTCAGTCAAACACGACGCATAGTACCCCTATAAACAAAAGGCCTGAAGCCCCTCTACAACTATCGACATTTATCAAAATTCGTAGGGTTTCCCGAGGCATGTTTAGAAAGTGGATGCCACTCTTGCTTCTAAATTTGTCATAGTAATGTGCCATTGAGTCATCTGCGATGTATGTACTCTATGTACAGTAGCTCTGAACCCTTCCCTGTCCTGAGTCAGTCTCAGTAATTCTGACACACCAGTTCCCACTGCCCTAGTTACTGTATCAATCCATCTCATCCGGGGTTTCCCTCTCCAGTGCTGTTCTTCCACCCTTCCAAGCATGATGTCCTTCTCTAAAGACTCATCTCTCCTGGCCATGTGCCCAAAGTAAGTGAGGCAGAGCTTCAAAATCCTAGCCTCCAAGGAAAAACTTGGTTTTACTCTCTCCAAGACAGACCTATTTGTTTTCTTGGCAGTCCATGGTATGTTCAAGACTCTTCTCCAGCACCACAATTCTTAAGGCATAGATTTTTTTGTCATCCTTAGTCATTGTCCAACTCTCTGAAGCATAACAAGTAATTGAGAAGACCATGGCCTGGATCAGGCAAACCTTTGTATCTAGACTGACATCATTAGGAGCCAAAATTTTCTCAGAGGAAGGAGCCTGCTCTAAACAGAATGTACCCAAGTTGGCTGGAGTGGGAATTATCTGCAAGTGGGCATGAGGGATTTTCCTGAGGTGATGATACTTATAAAAACAGAGTTGTGGGTAAAGATCTAGTAGCTGCACAGTAAAATTTCAGCTCAATAAAAAGCCCAGTTCAAAAATAGGTAAAGGTCATAATGATGAGAGTCCACTTTATAGTCCATGTTTCTGAAACAATTCTAGAGATTCTGGTGAGAGGGTAGGAATGGAGGAATAATGAGCAATGGATTTTAATACATATTTTCCCAAGAGATAACACAAATGAACATATAAATGCTCCACAACATTAGGGATTGTTATGTACTGTTGAGTCAGAACTGACCATCGCTGGCCCTCCAGCAAGTTTTCAGAAACAGTGAATCACAGAGGAGGAGACTGCCCATCTGCATTGAGCAGCTGATGGATTCAAACCATGTGCCTTTGGGTTGGTAGTAAAGCTCCTTCCCAATAGACCACCAGAACTCTCTCATTAGAGAGATTCAGAGCAGAGCCCCAAAAAGATAATCACATCCCATTGACTAAGATGACTGTAATCGGTAAGATGGACAATATGGTCCACAGGTGGAGAAATTGGAACCTCATAGATGTCTGTTGGGGATGCAGAATAGTGCAAACATCTTGAAGTCTAGTTTGACAGTTCTCAAGTCTTTTAAGCATAGAGCTGCCTTATGACCCAGCAATTCCACATCTAGGTTTATACGAAAGAGAATTGGAAACTCATGTCCAACACATAATTTGTAGCAAAATTATCATAATAATGGGAGACAATACACTTCAACTGAAAAATTGTGATGTAGTCATACAATGAAATATAACAAAAAGTATCGATATATATGCTAGAACATGGATGGAAATTGAACATGCTAAGAACTGTAGTCTTCAATATGGATTGAAGCTCAACATCAAGAAGACAACAATTCTCACCACTGGGCCAATTGGCAGCACTGTGACGAATGGAGAAGAGATTGAGGTTGTTAACAGTTGCAGCTTGTTTGGTTCCACCATCAACACTCTTGGTACCAGCAATCAGGAAATCAAAAGATGAATTGCATTAGGTAAATCTACTGTCAGGGACCTTTCCAGAGTGCTGAGAAGCAACAATGTTAGTCTAGAGTCTAAGGTGTGCCTGATCCAGGCCATCATCTTAAAAATTACTTGCTATCACCAGAGAGCTGGACAATGACTAAGGAGGACAGAAGAAGAATTGATGCCTTTGAGCTATGGTGCTGGAGAAGAGTATTGAATATACCATGGACTGCTAAGAGAGAAGAGACTGCTAAGGTTCATCCTAGAGAGGATGAAACCAGGCTCCTCCTTGCAGGCAAGGATTCTGAAGCTTCATCTGACATACTTTGGACATGTTGCAAGGTGGGATCAGTCCTTGGAGAGGGATGTCATGATTGGGAGGGTGGAGGGACAGTGCAGAAGAGGAAGACCCTAGATGAGATGGATTGATTCTGTGACTAGGGTACTGGGATAGGTGTATCAGAGACAGTGAGATTGGCACAGGAGAGAGAGATTTAGGGCTGTTGTACATAGGGTCACTGTGAGTCGCAGGCAACTCGATGGCACATAACAACAACATGAGGCCCAGGCAACTCGACGGCACATAACCACAACAGCATGCTAGATGAAGGAAGTAAGACGCCAAAGGTCACATACTTAATGATTTCACTTACATGAAATGTCCAGAAAATGGAAATTTATGGTTGAAACAAAGTGGATTAGTGATTGCAGGGGCTGAGCTGGAAAAGAATGAAGAGTGATGGCTGATGAGCTGAGGTTTCTTTTGGGGGTTTTGAAATGCTCTAGAGTTAATGATGGGACAGCTTTGTGAATATAAAAAAGCTGCTGAATTACATACTTTAAAAGGATGAACTTTACGGTATCTAAATTATATGTCAATTTAAAAAAATCTTAAAAAAGAAGCATCCTTATCTTACTAGAGATTCTGATCAAGGTTAGTTACCAAAGGCCATTAAAAAGACAGGAAAGAAATGGGCAAGTGGAAGTAAGAAGAGACTCTGAAATCTGCTGTCGAGTGGAGAAGCTAACGCAAAATGGGCTAATAATCGAGTAAGCAAAATAAGGGTCCAAAGGACAGCTCCAGATGACAAAACTTGCCATAACCACGCCAGAAGGCATTTCCTCAAAAAGCTGAACACAAATTCCATACAACCCAGCTGTTCCACTGCCAGGAACATACTCTGAGGAAAACAGAACCGAGACACAAATTGAGATTTATACACTGATGTTTGCCACAGTGTTACTCACAATGGAAGAAAATGGAAATGTCCTTCAACAAACAAATGGATTGAAAAACTGTAGCACATTCTCATGATGGAATACTATGCAGCACTCAGGAGCAATGATTTTGAAAGATAGAACATGAGAGAGGCTGGAAAGCGTTTTTTTTTCTGAGTGAACTAAGTCTCATAAGGACAAATTGCATAAGACCATTACTGTAAAAATAGAAGGATTACTACTAGTAAGATAGGTGCCAAAGCCCAGAGAGGGAAGGTGAAGGTGGAGGGAGGCTGATGGTGGGGAGGTGGGCTGACAACTCAAGGTTGCAGAGTTTTGTGGACAGAGTGAAGGGGTGAAGGAATTAGGAAAGGTGGGATAATTGTGGGCATGGATCAAAGGTAGTTAATTTTATGAAACAACTATGGTAATGATAATATGAAACTGAATGGATGAATGCATGAAATAGAATTTTTTAAAGAAAGAAGACAAAACTAAGTATCATGAAATGTGCAGAAAGCTGGAATTTGAAAATCAAAGGGGGGAAATACAGCATTTTTTTATAGTTTAATGTATTTTAATAGCAGACTTACAGAACAGCACAGAAGACAGACAACATTAAAAAACATGTACTTGCATGTAGGACAACTCAGAAAAGTATAGTGAATGGATGGATCTACTGTATGATAAAAATGCTACAAACACTATTTAGTTGCTATCAATAAGAAATTTACTTGTCCAGAAATATTTAACAGGTTTATTTATAATTGTTACAAAGTTGAACTGCTGAAACTTGTTCACGGGAAACATTTTTTTTCTGACTTGCAGTAATGCTTTATATTCCCGCATTTATATTAGAAATTCACACACAAATGAAAATGGAAAAACTGCCAATCCTTGATTTCTGCCCCCTATGTTTCCATTCACAGTCATATACTTAGGTATCTTTTGACCCCATGGAAAAAAATTATCTAACGTTCAAGAACTACCAATAACAGGAAGAAGAGATTTTTTTTTTTAAAGAATGAAATGTTCCCCATCCTAATGGATTCTTAAGCACGCTCTCCACATATGCGGCATGCTAGCTGCATGTCTTTTGGCGTTATTGTTACACGTTTGGCATGGACAGCACACAGCTTGGTGTCTTCAAAGAGGCCAACCAGATAGGCCTCACTTGCCTCCTGCAAAGCACCAATGGCTGTGCTCTGAAAGCACAGATCTGTTTTGAAGTCCTGAGCAATTTCTCGCACCAGACGCTGGAAGGGAATTTTTTGAATCAGGAGTTCAGTGGACTTCTGATGACGCCTGATTTCACGGAGTGCCACAGTACCAGCCTGTAGCGATGCGGCTTCTTCACCCCGCCAGTAGAGGGTGCGCTCTTGCGAGTGGCTTTTGTCGCCAGCTGCTTCCTGTGTGCTTTCCCACAGGTTGATTTGCGGGCGGGCGGCTTTGTACTAGCCATGGGATAAGCACCTCTTCACTTACTCCCCCTTTGACGGCTGGAGCTCGGTGGCGCTGGCTTCAGAGAGCGACGGCGGCGACTGCGAACACAATTTGGAAATACAGCATTTTTCAAGCAGTGCTGAAAGAAAAAAGAAAAATTAAAACCTCAAGTTGCAATGATGAAGGATTCTATGGGCAAAATATTAAAAGACGTAGGAAGCATCAAAGAAAGATGGGAAGATAAACAGTCACTATCAAAAGAATTGGGCAATCTTCAACCATGTATTGCATGGTGGTGTTATTATTAAGTGCTGTCGAGTATGACTCACAGTGACCCTATGGACAAGTCCCCTGAACCCCATCCTGTGCTTCCTCACTGTCACAGTTGAGCCCATTGCTGCAGTCCTGTGTTAATCCAGCTCCTTGAGGGCCTTCCTCTGTTTCACTGACTGTCCATGTTCCAAACATGATGGATGTCCCTCTTCAAGGAATAATCTTTCCTAATAACATGCTCAAAATATGTGAGACAAAGCTTTTTCATCTCTGCCTTCAAGGAACATTCCAGCTGCACTTTCTCGAAGGCACTTATATTTAGTCTTTGGCAGTCTATAAGCTATTTCAATACTCTTCACCATAGCACAGCTCAAAGGCATAGATTCTTCTGTCATCCTAAGTCATTGTCCAGCTCTCAGATGTATAGCAAATGATTGAAAAAGATCATGAGCTGAATCAGGTAATTTGGAGAGATCTGTAACAGAGGACTTTCCCAATTATCTCCTGACTGCGAATACCAAGGGTATTGATTGTGGATCCAAATAAGATTAAATCGTTGACAGTTTCAATCTTTCCTCCATCTATTGTGATGTAATGCTACCATTGCATGAAGCAGCAAATCATCATAAGAACCAATGGGACCGAAGGAAGAAGCTGTATTGAAGACACTGGCAAAAACCAAGGTTCCAGGAATTGACATATCACAGTTGAGATATTTCAACAAGCAGATGCACTGCTCACTGTGCTGACTCCTATATCAAGAAATTTAGAAGACAGTTACCTGGCCAATGGATTGGGAGAGATCTGTATTTGTTCCCGGTTTTTTGTTTTGTTTTTTTTTAAGAGTTATCTAACACAGTACATAAATAACAATATTATTAATGCCACATATTATGGGAAGCCAAACTTTATACCAAATATTATATGGAAACCCTTGTTCGGGAATTGAAGGAATTTATAAGTTAGGGTTTCTCTTGTGGCAGATCCCAGAAAATAAGATGTTTCTTCCTGGCAGACAGGAGACAGCTAGGGCCCCCCTACAGAGGGAGTGTTACTTCTGAGCTAGAGTTCAGCCTAAGGCACCAAGGCAATCCTTAAGGGTATATACCAAATTCTTACATTTGTGAACCCCTCCCTCCTGAGTCAAAGGAAAGGTTTTCAATAGAAAGAGCTTGGCTTCATTTACAAGAATTCCTTTTATGATTTTCTTTCCCTGATTATCAGTAAATATACAGAGAAACATGACTTGGGGTCTTCAGTCGAGAACTGCTGGCCCCCTGTTTTATGCTCTCTGCTCTATCTCATTCCTGGCTGTCTGTCTCATTATTAATAATTATAATTACTTTACCTTCGGTCTGCAACAACATATAAGTAAAATATTGTTGAAGGTAATTTAAAAAACAGCTAAAGCACAACCTGAATAAGAAATCGTCAGAAATATAAGCCAGATTCAGAAGAATACATGGAACAAGAGACATCATTGCTGATGTCAACTGATCATGGCTGAAAGCAGAGAATACTAGAAAGATATACTTGTGTTTTGTTGAGCATGCAAAAGACTGTGTGGATCATAACAATTATGGATAACATTGAGATGAGCAGGAATTCCAAGACACTTAATTGTCATCAAGCAGAACTGAAACATGAACCAAGAAGCAGCCCTTTAAATGGAATAAGGGGATGCAGTATAGTTTAAAATCAGGAAGAGTGCACAGCAGGGTCATATTCTTTCCTCAAACCTATTCAGTGTATTTGTTGGGCAAATAATCTGAGGGACCGGACTATCTGAAGAAAAACATGGCACCAGGATTGGAGTAAAACTTATTACCAACCAATGTGCTTGAGTATATCAGGGATGAGGAGGATGGCACAGGATAGGCAGGGTTCAGATCCATTCTTCACAGGAACACCGTGAACCACAACTGACTCTATGGCACCTAAGAACAAACAACGTATCTGTTCACAGGCCCGGAGGATGGATGCCTCCAAGTCAGGGGATGTGCCCTCTTTAATCCAGGAGCTGATGGCAGGCACAGTCCCCAGGCTCGGGGAGAAATGCTCTGAGAGCTTCCTGCTCCATTTACAGGCTGTTGTGGATGTGACCTGGGTGTTGGCAAGGTGAAACTTCATCGCTCTTACTTTAGGCATGTTTGCAGGAGGGGGCCCAGTCCTTGGAAAAGGACATCATCCCGGGAAAGGTGGAGGGTATGAGATGGATGGACGCATGACAAACAATGGGCTCGAGCATATCAGAGATGATGGTGCAGGCAAGGGCAAGGTTCAGATCTGTTAGTTACGGGGTTGCTATGAGTTGTAGTCAACTCATTGGTACCTCATAACCCAACAATATGCATATGCTGCAACTTGCAGAAAAGAAAGATGACTTGAAATACTTAATGATGAAGATTATAGCCTCCAGTATGGATTACACTTCAACATAAAACAAAGATCATCACAAATGGGTCAATAAAGAGCAACACGGTAACTTGAGAGAAGATTGACATTATTGAGGATTTTCTTTTACTCAGCTTCACAATCAGTGCCCATGGTAATAGCAGACAAAAGTTGAAAGACTTCTTATACAGGGCACATGTGCCCAGGACCCCTTTAAAGGTCTTAACTTGGAAGCCCAAGTTTTGACTGACCCAAACAATGACCTTTTCAACCACCTAATATGTGAATAAAAGTTGGATCAAGACTGAAGAAGAATTGATGCCTTTGAACTGTGGTGTTGGTGAATAATACTGGCCCAATCCATGCGGTCTTTGCAATTGCTTGTTATGCTTCAGAGAGCTGGACAATGACTAAAGACGACAGAAAAAAGATTGATGCCTTCAAATTGTGGTGCCGGAAATTGTGGTGCAAGAAAACAAATAGGTCTGTCTTGGAGAGAGTGTAACCAAGTTTCTCCTTAGAGGCTGGGGTTTTGAAGCTCCATCTCACATACTTTGGCCAAGTGGCCAGTAGAGACTGGTCCTTGAAGAAGGGCATCATGCTTGGAAGGGTGGAGGAACAGTGCAGGAGAGGAAGACCCCAGATGAGATGGATTGATACAGTGACTGGGGAAATGGGGATTGGTGTGTCGGAATTAGTGAGACTGGCTCAGGACAGGGCAGGGTTCAGAGCTGCTGTCCATAGGGTCGCTATGAGTCATAGGTGACTTGACAACACTTAACAAATGGATCAATTGGTATCCTTCTATTCCTGAGGGCTTATTTTTTGTCAGTGTCTTCAATACAGCTTGAGCATGTTCCCTCATCACCATGGGCTCTTTATCATAAGCTACTTCCTGAAATATTTCAGTGTTCAACAACTCTCATTTGGTACAGTGATTCTATGTATTCCCTCCATCCTCCTTTTTTAAAAAAAAATTTTTTTTTACACTGGTTTGCGTACAAAGTTCATATACATTGTGTTTCTCACGATTTTTCATTCACATCAGGTTTCATACAATCATTTTCATTCATTATGTTTTATAAAATCAATCACAATTGAA